GATTAACTTCAAACTTCACAACAAGGTTAATTACCATGAAAGCTCGGACAAGTTCGATAACCGCCATTATCCGACCATAATTTGTGGAGTTGCCGAAACAGTGTCCGCTCGATATCTTGAGTAATTATCAACGGATTAACTTCAAACTTCACAACAAGGTTAATTCCCATGAAAACTTGGACAAGTTCGATAACCGCCATTATCCAACCATAATTTGTGGAGTTATGCTCCTTTATGGACTTGTCGAAACAGTGTCCGCTCGATATCTCAAGTTATTATTAATGGATTAACTTCAAACTTCACATCAAGGTTAATTACCATGAAACCACGGACAAGTTCGATACCCGCCATTATCCGACCGTAATTACTGGAGTTATTACCCTTGATTTCATTAATGCGATGCATGAGTTCCTTGATGTTGTATTGCACTCATTGATCTACCAGTTATGTTGAATGATTTCTCTTTTAATGTCAATTACTCACAAATACTTCATATATTTCAATCATAAAAACAACTGCTCATTCAATGTGTGATGGGAGTATTATATACCGCTCGCAGTAACCTTGTTTTTTTATTGAAATTGGGGAAATATTCCTCCTTTTTTTGGTCATTTTGGGAAAATAATGCGCTTTTTTAGCTAGGGAAAACAGCCTGTATTCGGCTGTAAAACTGGACAAAAAATCTTTGGTAGGGTAATGTAAATTTGAGACAGGCCTGGATTCACAAGATTTTAGGGCCCCCTAAAGTGAGGTAACGGTGAATCAAGGGTGTTTCCCTATAAATACAGAACAACTGAGCCGATTTTAACTGGAGCTTTGTGTGTCTAAGGAAATTGTCCACCCCAATGCCATACAATTGCTTGTCACGGGATGATAACATGCATGCTACCAGGATTAGTCTGGGGTCTGGCCCACCCCTAGGGTATTTGTCATAGAATCATGGTATGGTAATCATTGAGATATCAACTCTATAAACATTTACATATGCTTTCATATACAGAAATTTAAATTAAAGGGAAAATTTTGAAGTGATTTGTGAAACTGAAGCCAGGATACTATATATGAACTGCTTTATATTTTGTCTTCTGCAGTAATAATTCTCCCTCACTCTGATGGGACAGAATGATTGTAACTCAAGTCTTCTGAAAAGATTCAGGGGTAAGATATTGGATTTCATTAAATACATAATAAAATATACATTTAAGCCTAACTTTGTTTCAGACTGAGGAAACAGCTGCAAACCCAAAGTACGTGTCGACTTCACAGGACATTGGGTGACTTTCTGGGCCTCACCAACGAACACCTAGAGGCCATTGACCAGTACAGCATAGCACTCAGGTATATCATTCTGTACAGTACAGTATATCACTCCGGTATATCATTCTGTACAGTACAGCATACAATCGGGTATATCATTCTGTACAGTACAGCATAGCACTCGGGTATATCATTCTGTACAGTACAG